TTAGGTACAATGGTAATTTGAACGCAGATTGATACATTTCTGACATCTTACGCCCAGTGGCTGTGCTCTACCTTAAAGCCCTGCCGAACGCCATCTTCCAACAAGATAATGCAAGACCATGTGTTGCACGTCACGTTCTGACCTTCTTTAATACACAGAGCATTCAAATGCTGCCCTGGCCTGCATGGTCTCCAGATTTGTTACCGATTGAAAATATCTGGTCATAGGGTGTTGAGAGACTGGCCTGCCACCCCTCTCCAGCTAATACAGTTGATGAAGTGTGGAATAGACTTAAAGCAGCATGGAATGAGTTGTCCGTTTCTGTCATTAAGCCGAGTTCGACTCTATGCCTAACCAGGTAGGGTCTGGCAGCTGTTTCTACTAATTTCGTGCCTGTGTAAACCCCCATACCGCTTACAAATTTAATCATTTTGCCTTTATGCCATGCTATTTATGCACAATAAATATCTTTTTTTATATTTGCTTTCCTTCGGGGTGTTGCAGTTTTAATGGCCAGCAATGTACATTCATTCTCAATCCATACTTCTATGAAGAGGTCATTTCCACAGGTATGAAAATGTGCTGCATCATAGGTGCTTGTAGAATTATGTAATTTCAGCAGCAAACTGTTATGACATTGTATGGATGCAAGATCTTGCTACATAAGTTCGGCACTTTGGAACTAGGATTCTCCGAACTTACTCAGATGGCTTTGCATTTTATATGAAATCTAAGATGTGCACATGAAATCCACGAGATCTGTCAGAACTGGAAGATGCCATAAAACATGAAGTTCTGCTGATTCTTCCTGCTTTGTTACATTCTTCGTTGTTATCAACAATCTATTGCATGCAATGCATTCATAGACTCCAACTACTACGGATTCTCCGTAGTTTCTACGGAAATTCATGAAAAACTACGAACTACGAAAAGTATGGAAAAAACTACGGATTTTACAGAAACAAGAGCAGGAGAACCAGTACGCAAAACGGAACCAACTAATTGATCCGATGATTGGCTGAATACTCGTGTTATCATATATCACGTGTTGAGTGCGTTCCTAGTTTTGAAGAATTAGCCAATCGTAGATCAGTAACTCCAACCGTTAACGATTTATCAATAGTTCCACCCAATTGTCTGTCTCCCAGGTTCCTCGCTGATGCGTGTTTAGGCTGCATTCGGCTGCATTGTGTAGTTTACGGCGAGAGCTTAGCGTGTGTCTTGTGAACTGTGAATCAGGTGAAAGATTTTTGATCATAATGCTGCCTCGAACGAAGAAGCCAAAATTATCAAAGCAGAAGTTTAAAGATTCATATTCTTCAGAATTTCCCATGCATTAAAGCGTCCGAAATTTCTGTGAATCACGCACACTGCAGTGTATGCAACAAAGACTTCTCAGTTGCTCATGGCGGAAAAGATGACTGTAAACGGCATGTGTTTTCTCAAAAGCATATAGAACTTGGCACCGTAAAATCTAAAGAAATAACAAATTTCTTAATAAAGATGATGAAACAGATCCTATAAAAGCCGAATGCTATTTTTGTTCGTTTTTTTAATTGAACATAATCTACCGCTTTCTGTTTCGGATCATTCCCAAGAGCTTTTCAAAGCAATGTTTTCCGGATTCTGCCATAGCAAAAAAATTTAGCTGCGGTCATACCAAAACTGCTGCTATTGTGAAAACGCTTGCAGAAAATACTGTTGCTGATATTATAAAATCAGTGTGTAGTACATCATTTTCTCTAAGTACTGATGGAAGTAATGATAACAATGATAACAAACTGTACCCATTGGTTATAACATACTACAGTAAAGAAAAGGGAGTGATAATTACTTCATTGATTTCTATTTTAGAATGCACGAATAATACAGGAGAAGGTATTTTTAATTGTATAAATGAAAACTTTAAAAACAAAGGTTTAGAATGAAAAAATTGCTTATCATTTTCTTCAGATAATGCTAGTAATATGATTGGAAAGTTTAAAGGTGTAGCATCATTTATCAAAATGCATCAACCAAGTATAATCACCCGAGGTTGTCCGTGTCACCTCTTGCATATAGCTGCAAAAAAAGCTACTGAAAAATTAATTGGCTCAGAAATTGAAATGTTGATAATAGATATATATTTTTACTTGGAGAAAAGTTCGAAACGGAAGCATAGCTTCAAAGTTGCTCAACAAATTTTGGGACAGAATGCAAAATCTCATAAAATTTTGAAATATTGCAGTACGAGATGGTTGTCTCTTTTAGAATCTATAACAAGGATTTTGGAACAGTGGGATGCTGTGATAAATTTTTTTGGAGATAAACCAGATAACAGTGAGAATGAAGGAAAGAGATTGCAAAGCATTAAAAAAATTTTACAGTCACCGACCACCAAATTGTACTTGTTATTTTTGAAAAATACTTTGCCTTTGTTTATAACAGTAAATATTAATTTGCAACAACAAGCTCCTTATATACATAAATTGAGAAGAGAACTTTTTGAACTTTTAATGAATTTATTTATTAGATTCGTAAAACCATCAGTAATTTCTAAAGAAAATGAAGATGTTACGCTAACGTCTATTCCATTTCAGAAGTATAGTAAACAAAAAGAAAATTTAGTGATTGGTGCGGAAACAAGACTATATTTAAAAAATGTCAAGTTGAATGAAAGTGAAGTGAAATCATTTTTTAATTCTGTGCGAGCTTTTTTTGTAACTGCATGTTCATATATAATTGATAAATTTCCACTGAGTGATCCATTTCTAAAACATGCTGAAGTTGCTGACATCAACTTGAGAACTGAAGTCTCATTTTCTTCTGTTCTTTACTTGATGAATACTTTTCCATCCATTATTGATGAAAAATGTCTTAATTAAGTAGAAATTGAATTTTCCATGTATCAAGTAGATGATTTGAAAGAAATTGTAGATTTGTGTATTGATATAGCATGGGGAGAAATTGCCAAATTAAAAAAATATGAATGGGTGTATTAAATACAAAGTATTGCCTTCTGTAATGCTTGCTGTCTTAATAATACCTCATTCAAATGCAGCTTGCGAAAGAATTTTTTCTATTGTTAAAAAAAATCAGACGGAATTTCGACCAAATTTAGGTCTTAAAACTCTTGAAGCAGTTTTGATTGAAAAAATAAATATGCAGGCAAATGAAGAACTGTGTTATAAAAAAACATTCTCAAAATCAGAACTTAAGCTTGCTAAGCATGCTACATATAAATCTTTGCATTCATAAATTATGCGTATTTTGTTTAATACTTATATGTATCATTCTTGGTTATTTAAATTTTATTTCCCTGTAGAAATCATATCCAGAATAAAGATATGATTTATAGCTTATGATTTTTTCTATGATTAGTAGTGATTTGAAGTACTTTTTATTAGTGAATGCTTGAGGAGTTGAAAGAAAATTTCTAATTAAATGTGCATATAATTTACAAGGTATATTTTTAATTATTCAGTTTTATATGTATATGGATTTTAAATGTAATAAAATTGATTACAATTAATTATTAATTTAAAATTAATGAATGGTTAATTACAACATACGCTACGCGCACATTTTCAAAGTTGTAAAAATGTCGTTCGCGCGTTGACTACTGACAAGGTTTGCTGAAGGTTGGAGTCTATGATGCATTATCATTTGCCAAATTTCAGCATGCATGTTGAAATTTGTAATTCCAATAAATGTTCCCCCCCTCTCCTCTCTTGTCATTGGTTGTTTACAATGCTGTTCTTTTCAAATAATTTACACCAGCATTTTTTGTCATATGTATATCACTCCATTGCCATTTGTGGTTTTCAATGTGCTGATCATTTCTCACTGGAAAGAAAAAGTGTTGCTATTCAAACATTTCAAAATGTATTCCCTCTAATTGTAACCGCAAGAGCTGTTTTAAGTCATCACAATGTCAAGTGGATAGACTGCTAGGGTTTCATATATATCTAGAAAGTTTTTTTATGTACATATATATTAAGTTGTGATTTGAATTGCTAAAAAAATCAAGACAAAATTTGAAAAGTTGTAGCTTATGACAGCGATTCTCAACCATTAAGCCGAGTTCGACTCCATGCCTAACCAGGTAGGGTCTTGCAGCTGTTTCTACTAACTTCGTGCCTGTGTAAACCCCCATACCGCTTACAAATTTAATCATTTTGCCTTCATGCCATGCTATTTATGCACAATAAATATCTTTTTTTATATTTGCTTTCCTTCGGAGTGTTGTAGTTTTAATGGCCAGCAGTGTACATTCATTCTCAATCCATACTTCTATGAAGAGGTCATTTCCACAGGTATGAAAATGTGCTGCATCATAGGTGCTTGTAGAATGTGTATGCAAAAGAAGATTAGATGGTACAAAAAAAATTTTTTTTTTAATATTGAGTTCAAAACTCCAATGGAGAAAAAAAAAAGTTGGTAGAAATTTCCTGTGATCGAAACTGAAGATTTAAAAAATAACCCACTTGTTAACTTTTGGCTGAACAGAAAAAAGAATTTAAAGGCATCTCAAGTAAAGCTGTCAAATTTTTATTGTCTTTTTGCACAACCTATGTGCGTGAACAAGGATTTTCTTCCATGTTATATTTGAAAAATAAATACAGAACAAAATTAAAAGTGGATCCTAATTTACGGTTAAAGCTAAGTGGCCAGATGTAAAGAAACTGATCTGTCTTAAACAGATCCAAATTTCATACTAAATTTTAGACTTTAAGTATTATGACTTAAATTTTGATAATTAAAGTGAAGACCAATTTTTAATCTAACATTTTTATGTGTGCATATTTAATACAACCAATATGGAATGCAAATCACAAAATATCTTTTAAAATATTTCTATTGAGAATTTGAAAAATAATCTTTGTAAAATATAGCGGTGACACTGAAGTTTTTCAATTTTTGTTTAGATGGTACACGTTAGTCTAAAATTTGAGAACCACTGGTTTATGATTTAGAACTTTATGAATCTGACTTTGCTTTCTTACTTTTTTTTTTAATAGATGAGTGGTCTAAACGTCTTACTCCTGGCAGACAAAATGCAAAAAGCCCCCCATCTATTCAAGGAGACAGATTTATTCCTAATAGAAGTGCTATGCAGTTTGAATTGGGACATCACATGGTATGCATTTTACCTACATTTTTAAGCAATTTATCAACAAATTAGAAAAATATTTCAGTCCTTTCTGATTATTAACACCCCTATTTCAGTGCTTTCTGATTATTAACACCCCAATCAAAAGGTACGATAAAATACTGATAAGGCAATACGTGTGCCATCAAAAATTATGATATCTTTTAATGGGAATTTCAATGCTTTAGTATGATGGTGGATCACATGCTACAATTATGTTCATGTTTTAAGAACTTGCTTTTCATTTTACAGCTATAAAATACTTTGTTAAATTGATTATTTCTTGCTTTTGAAAACTCAGAAACTGAAAGAGATCTTTTTCAGTTCACAGTTATGTTTTATAAAGAAATATTTTCATTTAATGTATCTTTAGACCCTACTTTATTTTGAGTTTTTTATCCAGTCTGTTAAGGTTTGACATACAATTTTAATTTCTATTATGTTTGTCCATTAAGGCAGTGGTCTCAAACTGGCAGCCCCTGAATTTGCACAGCCTATAAATGCATCTCTTGTAAATTAACTTAAATATTATGATAAGAATTTGAAAAAAGGTTTTTTAATGATTTGATATCCAGTTTTGCAGTATTTTCATTATTACAAAATAAATGAAACTAATGTTCCAGAAAAGCTATAAATGGAATTAATTTAACCTATAAATAATGAAATAATAATTATTAAAACCTATAAATAGAGTTAATGCAATTTACAATATAAATCATATTTGAATGTTTGAAGTTACAAATTTTATTAACCTGTATTTGTCAAAACATAAATACCCTCAGTTATAAATTTTGGCTGTAAGAACAACTGTTTTGTTTGGAATACTCAAAGCATTCCCCCTTTCTGCACAGTTGAAAATCAATAAATCTAAGAAAAGAACCACATACCCAATGGGTATTAGCAATTCATGATGAATATGCTTTCTAGTAAATTTTCTCCAAGGTTACAAACTTTATCAAAATTGATATGCCATGAGCCAAAAGTTGCAATAAAAAATAAAGAAATTTAGAATTATGTACATACAAATATGTATTTTTTCCATATGGATTATAGGAAAATGCAAGACATTTAAAAAAAAGAGAGAATAGGTTGTAAATATTTATTCCCAAGCATGTGAGACTCTCTATCAGAAATTCTGTTTTTAAATATTTTGCTGTTTTGCGTAGCACAAGTGTGGAGAATGTGATGTTTAATAAATGAAGTTAACACACAAAATGTTAATAATGAAAAGACAAATTTTTGTAAGTCATCTTACTAAGGAAACTAAACACATATGATAAACTGAGAAAAGACTAGGGGGGGGGAAATAGAAAAGTGTATACCAACACTTAATACTGTATCGGGAATTCTAAGCATATGCTGCTTTTAAAATTTTTGCAATTTTCCTGTTGAATTGTATATGGCGTAACTGCGAAGAAAATGATGCTTAATGATAAAGCTAAAAAGATTTTTAAAAGAAAGAAGTTAACAGGAGGGAATTTGACGGCAGACTGGTAGACGACGAGCTCCTAAACACTTTCAAAATTTTTATATTGGTTACTGTATTTTAACTTTTAATTTAAAAAATTCTGTCTTGTCAGCTGCTTTCAGATTGTGGCCTATTTAGACCATTAAGAAGCTGTATACTAAATTATTGAGAAAATATGAACAGCTAAATCACTTGATGGAAATTGAAACTGAGGCTGCCTCACCCATGAGGTTTATAAACCGAAAAAGAGTAGCACTAAACTTCGGATGGTTTTTAACGCTAGTTGTAAAACAACAAATGGACATTCATTAAATATCATTTTACTAAAGGGTGGCATAATCTAAGATGATTTATTTTCAATTATGCTGTGTTTTAGAAAGCATGTATATGCATTTACTGCAGACATTGAAAAGATGTATCACCAAATTGACATTGATCCTTCTCAACTTGATCTCCAAAGAATTCTGTGGAAGACGGGCATAAATGAATCTAGCAAAAGTTATGTGCTTAAGACTGTAACGCATGGAACTGCGTGTGCTCCTTATTTGGCAACCAGAGCCTTACATTAACTAGCTTATGATGAGGCGGAAACCTTCCGCCTTGCGTCTTCTGTTACTTTAACTGACTTTTACATGGATGACATCCACTCTGGAGGATCAGAACTAAGTCAAGTAACAAAATTGTGTTCCGAGTTGACAATGATGTTACAACGAGAAAAGATGAATTTACACAAGTGGTGTTTTAATAAACCAGAACTCTACGCTGATATCTCTACGAAGCAGAATTATGCTTTTCCTTTCCAGGATGATAAAAGAACTGTCAAGGCTTTAGATATTGAATGGAATACAGCAAATGATTCCTTTTCCTATTCCTATTACTAAGTGACCATCAGTTCCCGTCTTACTTATATGAAAAGGGAATTCGTATCAGATATCGCCCGCATATATATCGCCCTTTGGGCTGAATTGGCCCAGTAATCACAAAAGCTAAAACTTTCATGCAATCGTTATGGCTTATTAACATTGATTGGCATGAGCATCTTTCTGAACCTTTAGCTGAGCAATGGACACATTTTGTTTCTACACTTACCGAAATCGAGAAGCTTCGCATTCCTAGATGGGCTGTGATCCTGAATACTACAGTTGTGCTCCATGGGTTTGCTGACGCTTCTGAAACAGCATTTGGAGTCAGGGTTCGTAGTGGTCCTTACAAGTGCTTATAAGTCCTTATATTTGAAAATAAAATATAAAGGCCCTTATAGGTGCTTACTTTTTCTTTAAAGCCCTTATTTTTTTGCTTTTAGCCCTTTTTTTAATCCTTTGTTTTTAATGAACACACATTTTTCCCCCGTACTAAAGCCGAAACTAAATAAACAGCTTTTCTTCCTTATATGCAACGTCAGATGGTGAATCATACTCTCGAAAATTGCTTTCCCCCCCTTCCTCTGCATTAACATAACCTATGGTGCGCGCGAGAGTACAGACAGGTGCACGTCGTTCTATTAGCCAAAGAATTGCGAAAACGTAGAAAATTCCGGTATTTTCGGTATTCTTTTCCTCCCACCCAAATACTACACACGTTTGAATTTCTATCAAGATTTTAATAATTTGCATTCTTGTTCCGCGTGGTCAGTTCATATTCATGTTTATTATGATCATTATGCTTATATTATGAACATATGTATGAATATTTATAATAATATAATTGCAGTAACTGCTGAAGTATAGATAAACTTCCAAAAATGGGTGTGTTTTTACACAGATTAGCTTTCTAAGAAATAATATTCGGAATGGCTTAAATAAAAGGAAAGTAATCGAATAGTCAAAATAATTTCATTTTCTTTGCCAATGCATTATACAGAACGAGGTTGGGAGTTTCTCCGCAAAATCTCTAATATTGAAGCAGCGGACTTTTTTTTTGTCACTGTCCAATCTGGATTGAATAGGACTAAAAGTTTTTGTGGTCTACCCAACTCAAGCCAAGATTGATTCTATTCCGGAAATTTAATACAGTCTGTTGAAAATTAGAATCAGAAACACCCCAGATTAACAAGTCTCTTTCTTTTCCTTTATTTAGTTCTTCTTTCTCCGAATACCGGCAGGTGTTGATTCCGATTGCATAATATCACATATGGAAGAATTACGCTGCACGTATTGCGCAATAACGTTTGCGGTATTTTGCAATGATAATTAATTTTGATGTTCAGTCTGAGATTTGTTTATGAACACTTAAAAGAGTTCTACTGTGCTTTCTAAGCAGAATATTTCTCAGTTCCGTTGGTTTTTATATGATGCACATATCGAAATGTCAAAATCATTTATTTAGCCTAAATTTAAATCTAAAGAACGGCTACAATCTCCCCCACTACTCTTTTTCCAGTTACTATATGGAATATTCGGGAATTTCCGAGTATGCTGGTTAGTTAAGCTTTTACTGTTAAAGGATGACTGAATGAAGCAATTTCCCGTCTTCTGATTTCAGAAATGTGCCTCTTTTTTACTTAAATTACTTTGCTTGGGATATATGTTAAGGGAAAACTGTTATGCAATGAAAATTTAGAAAATGTTCAGAATTTTGATTTAAGTTAAATTATTTAAATATTAATATGAGTGGAAAAATAAATTGTATTCATTATTAGGTGCCAAACGAATACAATTAATATGGCTTATTATTGCGTATTTTCTATATTTTCAACTGAAATATCATCATTAAATTTTGTAATATAGTGTAGTTCCGCATAGTTTTTTTTTCCTCTCGTAAACTAATTCTGTAAATTGAACTGTCATTTAAAATAAAATAAAAAAAAAATAATAAAAATAAAAAAAAAAAGTTAATTGTTTTCCATTGTTGACGTAATGCTCATTCTCTTAATAAATATTGCATTGCTCATATTTTAAATTACAAGTCTAATTTTTCTTTTAAGGTTATGCAGTTGTGTATAATGTAATTAGACAGGTGCTTATTTTTCCCTTAAAATGTGCTTGAAAAGTGCTTATAGGTGCTTTTTTTTTTTTACTAAAATGTGGCTATGAACCCTGGGAGTGGTTCTGTACCTTCAATCAATATCTAGTGAACGGTGCTCTACTGAACTGTTGTGTAATAAATCCAGAGTGTCACCATTAAAGAAAATCTCTGTACCGAAACTCTAACTGTGTGCGCGTCTCCTGCTAGCTCAACTGGTGAAGAATGCTCTCTCCGTGCTGAAATTAGATATCAGTGAAGTATATCTGTGATCAGACTCAACGATTGCATTAGCTTGGATTGCCACATTGCCTCATTCACTCAAATTGTTTGTAGGTAATAGAGTAACAAAAATACAAAATCTCGCAGAAAACTTTATTTGGAGACATGTTTCCTCAAAGGACAATCCGGCGGATTTAATTTCTAGAGGTCTGAATCCAGAAGAAATAGCATCAAATAACATGTGGTGGCACAGGCCATTATTTCTACTTAAGGAAGTGTGTGTACTTATGACTAAGACATTTGTGAGTCCTTCAGATGACCAATATCCAACTGAACT